AGAAATTCATAGTTTCCTATTGAGGAAAATAAAACTATAATTCACAGTTCCCACCTTTCCACACATTTGTGCTTGAGCCCCTAGAAACTTTTCATACACACGGGTTCCCCCAACCCCCATTGTTGGTCTCCTTATAAGTAAAGATTTATCAGCAGTTCCTAGTTTCATTTCTGTTCCCGTGACAAAATACCCTGAGAGCAATTTAGGAGGAAGGGGGATTTGTTCAGTTTACAGTTCCAGATTATAGTCCATCATTGTGGGGAAGTCAAGCAGGAACTGGAAGCAGTTTAGTGACACCATGTCCCACAGTCAAGAGCAGAGAGAAATGATTGCATGTCTGTTGACTTGGCTACGTGCGTGTGCTGTCAGATTTCCCCACTCTTACACAGTTCAATTTAGGGAATGTTGCTGCCCACAGAGGGCTGGGTTTTCATCTCGTCAACTAGCTTAATCAGACAATCCCCAACAGACATGCTCCCAAGCCAACATATGTAGATGATCTCTCACTGGGGCAAACCTTTGATAAACAGTCTCTTCCAGTCCTTTTGCCACACTGAAAATGTTTCCTCTTCTTCACTGTGACACACAGACTCCCGTCCTTGTCCCCTAGGCATCCTGTGCCAGGCTGCCCACCTGTTCCAAGGCCACACCCTCCCCAAAGAGCACTGGCACAGCGGGTCAGAAGTCCCTCTGTGGTCTGCTCTCCCCCTCTCTCACACCTCTTCCCAATATCTTGACTTTGCTTCTGACCTTCATCTTTCGAGTTTTTCTGAAAACACCCTTTTAAAGAAATACTCCAAGTACAATAGGGTTTTCTGCAATCTTCCAGGCACTTGCCCTGAGCTTCACTGTGCACATGGCCCAACCTAAAACTGCAGTTGAGCTCCAGAGTGCATAAGCGCACACACAAGCGCCATTGTGGAAAGTAAACCCTGCCCCAATGCCAGGTGGGTCATCACAAGCCCACGGTTCTGCAAAGGATACAGAGGAGGAAGTTCTGGTGTGGGACAAGAAGGGTCAGAGAGCAACGGACGGCCACAGCCACAGAAGCTGTTCTCTGAGCTACTCTGCCTCCTGTAGCTGATGTCTCTGTGTGAGGCTCCCTCCCTCTCCCTGCCTGCAGCCAGCCTGCAGCCCTGGAGCCCACCGGGAGGTCTCGGCCGAGCCTGAATTTTTGTCGTCCCTTAGTGTGCCTCCACTTCCCCACAGCTAGTTTCTAGTGAAGATGTTTTCCCTTCCTTTAAGAGAGTCTGGCTGTATTCTGAGGGTTTCTAGAAACACCTGTGGCTGGAGTAGGCCCTGGCTAAAATTGCTTCCCCCTTTCCTGGGACACGCTTCACGTGGAAACTGCACCTCATACACCACCAGGAAGTGAAATTTGGCTACACCATACCCTTTCATCATTCTGGACTCAAGGATAACCAGGTGTCCTGTTCCCAACCAAGCAGAATCCTTTGCGGGACTTTGGTATTTTTGTACTTGAAGTCTTGGGTCACTGGCGAGGGTCCTGGGTACAGCAATTCCTAAAGCCCACTCTCCCTGGATTTCTGGGGCGCTTGATTTTATTCATTCACCCACACCTGAGTGAATGACGCTTTTATCGCACAAAGCCAACATGACCCTGGTCCCCTTCCCCAGTCTCAGCTTCCAGAGTAGGCTGGGTGAAGGACTCCTTGAGCACTGAGAAGCCATTTCCGCCGCGTGAGTGACTCACACAAGCCCCCATCTTCCATCCCAAGGCCACGTTCACTCCTCACCCCTCGGCGGGAGGGGGTGGGCCGAGGACAGGCTGACTCAATCACTTCTTGCTTTTAATGGAGCCTCGTTAATTTCCTCCCCTGAGAGATGGCTCCAGCCTTCACCTCCAGCCTCCATTAGCCGCGCCGTGCTTTGTCAGCGCATCTATGACAAATTAATTGCAAAGGGAGAACCGCGCCGGACAGCAAGGACTCTGCTTGGACAGGCTCAGGAGCTGCAGTTTGTTCCCCACTGACACCCGGCCCGCTTGACTGTGGTCCTCAGGCCGGCTCTGAGATCCGCCCCTGGCTCTCAGCGGTGCAGAAGGAAGCCGCCTGCCTGGGAAAGCCAGCCACCCATGCTCTTAGCTCGCATTGACAATGGGATGTCCCAGGGCAACAAGCTCTGGAGGCTGCAGCACAGCACTGTGGCCAAGAAGACTGTGCATGTCACAAGACCCCAGTTGACATTGAGCTCCACTGCCCAGCTGCCAGGGAACACTTTTTCGGGTCAGCTAAGATTTGTGCAAAACTGGCCCTGACTCCTTCTCCCGCCAATTCCCCAACTCCATTTCCTTTGCTCTGGGCTTGGCTTTCATCCCAAAGGGCCCACCTCATCTCTGTTGCCTTACAATGAGCTCCATGCTCTGGTCAGGCTGTGTCCCCACAAAGTATGGTTCACATCCCAGACTTCCTCACCTACACGCAGAGACCAGAATCTATAGTCCTCAGCTGCCCATCACGGCTCTGGGGCTCAGGTGCTGCCAGCCTGGGTTCCACACTCCCATTATCCATTGCAACCATCCCTGCCCCCTGTACTCCCAGGGCCCAGTGCAGGCTTGAGACGGCACGCAAAGACCCCACAAGATTGAGTGTGAGGGAACCAGGCCATGAACCATGGTAGTCCCTGATTGGGATATATATATATATATATATGTTTCTCTTATTGCTTGATGGATAAAACACTGTTGGCCTTGAGGCAGGAAGATTGGCAGGACTAGGAGACGAGGAGAATTCTGGGAAAAGTAGGCAGAGTAAGCCCACCAGAACAGACTCCATGCAGCCGCCAAAGGACTAACAGGTGCAGGCATTCTCCGGTAATTCAAGACCATGAGGGAATACATAAATTAATAGAAATGGGATAATAATTAAAACAGAGCTAGCCAATAAGAAGCCCTAGCCATCAGCCAACAGTTTTATAATTAATATAGCATCTTTGTGAGTTCATTTGGGGCTGAGAAGGGTGGTGGGACCTGGCAGGATGAAGAAAACACAACAAAACGACACCCAACATAGGACACGAACCCATGACCCTGAAATTAAGAGTCTTATGCTCTACTGACTGAGTTAGCCAGGCTCTCTCTGCCTACCTTTCCCAGAATTCTCCTCATCTCCTAGTCCCTCCTATCTTCCTGCCTCATTGGCCAAACAGGGTTTTATTCATCAACCAGTAAGAGAAACAGAAGGCCATCCCCCATAAAGTCCCCACTCAAGTGGCCGATGAGGTCAGGCAGAAGATGGCATTGGATTCCCTGGAACTGGAGTTATAAGCCATTGTGAGTCATCGGTTGTGTGTGCTAGGGACCAAACTCAGGCCCTCTACAAGACCAGTAAATGCTCTTAACCACTTAGCCATCTCTTCTAATTTAAAAAGTTTTAACATTTTTATTTTTTATTGGGGGTGTGTAGGCACTGTGCCCCAGGCACACCTCTGTAGGTCAGAGGACAGTTTTCCAAGCATGTTTTCTCCTTTCACCAAGTGGTTCTTGGAATTCCCAACTGGGTCATGAGGCTAGGCTGCAGGCCTCTCTTGGACTGAGCCATCTCACTTGCCCCTGGTTTAATTCTTTAACTCAGTTTTCTGAGTGACTTTGATGCCCTTTAATCAAATGAAACAGTAACTGTGGGGTTGGGGAGCTGATTTTATGTTTTCTTTTTAGCTGGGGTGTTCATGCACTGTGTGTGGGTTTCAGAGGTACACTTTTGTACAAACATAGATCATGCTCAACCAATGCTCCCCCCCGGCCCTTTTTTCCTCTGCCGTGCTGGTGGTCCCTTGACCTCTACTTTGATGTCATATCCATGTGTATGATTCTATGAATCTGTGGAAAATCTAGGAGCCACAGCCATGAAGTGGTGGCGCACACCTTTAATCCCAGCACTGGGGAGGCAGAGGCAGATGGATCTCTGTGAGTTCGAGGCCAACCTCATCTGCAGAGCTCCAGGATAGGCTCCAAAGTTAGAGAAACCCTATCTAGAAAAAGCAAAGACAAAACAAATAAACAAAAACCAAACCAAAACAAACAAACAAAAAAAAACCCAAAACAAAAATCTAGGAGCCACAAATGGGAGAAAACATGGTATTTTTTTGAGATGGTTTAATTCACTTAGCATGGTGGTCTCTGGTTGCATCCACTTCTCAGCATATGACAGAGCATCATTATTTTACGTGGCTGTGTGCACGCTCAGAATTTCCTTTACCCAGCCTCTGTTGACAGAAAGCAAGGTTGGTTCCATTTCTCAACAGGAATGTGCAGATGTCTGTATTCTGTGTTGACTTGTCCCTTCTGGTAAACACCTAGGAGTGATAGAGCTGGCTCCTATGGTTGATCGATTGATTGATTGCTCTTGAGGCAGGCAAGGTTGTTTTGGCTCATGGTGGCAGAGGTGTCAGCCCACAGTCTCATAGCTCCATTGCTTGCTGGCCTGTGGCAAGGCAGAGGAGGGTGCTCACCTCGGTAGGCAGGGAGGAAAGATGGGTAGACAGACTGGAAGGGGCATGGCCCAGGCTGGGGCTGCAGCTACACTGGTAGAAAACTTGTGTACTGTGCGTGAAATTCCATCCTTAGCACCTCATAAACTGGATGTGGTGATACGCACCCATTATGCCAGCACTCAGGAAGTAGAGGTCAGCAGATCACAAGTTTGAGGTCACCCTTGGCTACATAGTGACTCAAAGCCAGTCTGGACTACAAGAGTCCCTGATGTCTCCATTGACGCCTTTCCTTCGTCCTCCCAAAGTCTCTACTCCCTCCCAATAATGTCAGACAGTAAACCCTTCTAGAGACTGCGCTGTGGACAATCTCAGGGCCCTCAGAATCCTGTCACTTCATAATGATCAGTACCAGCCCGGGCTCAAGCTGTCAATAAATGCCTGGGCCTCTTCAGGAAGGGTATCACATCCAAATCACACACACACACACAAATCTAGTCTGAGCCCTGTGTGCAGCCACAAGAAACCCCACACAAAAGCCGCTTGCCTCTGCCCTCTCTCCCCTCTTGCCTCATTTCTGCATCCGACGGCTCCCTGTACCGCAGACGCCATCCTCCCTCAGCACAGGTTCTGTGGTCTGGGGGCCGCTATCTCCCAGAGTCATAGTTCCCAGCTCAGAAGTGAGCAGTATGGAGTTGCTGGGGGTGTTGGAGCAGCTTCTGCATGGTGTGGCTTTAGAACTTGTGTCTGGAGGGAGGAGAGAAGTGACAGTGAAGGAGTAGGTAAGGTCTCAGGTCACGGCGTCATTTAGCTCACCAGGAGCTGCAGGCATTCTGCAGGCTCCTCCAGAGCGTATGCTCCACAACCACTGTGGTGGGTTTCTGCTGCCAGTTCCCAAACTGTCCTTGGGGAGACTTAAGCCTCCCCTACCACATTTATTTATCATTTATTTTGTGCATACTTGTGTGGGGAGGGGTCAGGTGGCAATGGGTGGGAATTGTTTCTCTCCAATCACATGGGTCCTGGGTATCAACCTCAGGTCTTCAGACTTGGCAGCAAATGCCTTTGGCCACTGAGCCATCTCGATAGCCCAGGGAAACTTGGACGCTACCTCACTTGCCTCTGTTCACACTCTCCAGGTCTCCCCCGGTTCATTTCAAATGAGGTGGGGGACATTTTATGAACGCCTTCAGCCTCTGAAAGACCAGGAGGGCACCGCCAAGGCTCTGGGCTCCTGGGTGACGATCCCTCTTCTTGTGCTGCTCCCACTTACCACTCGGGGCCTTGGCACTGTCAGTGTCTGCGCTTGCAAATCCCTCCACAGGACTGTGTGTGTCAGCAGGTCCCTGTTGGTTCCCTGTTTCAGTTCTCTCTCAAAGCCTCCCTGACTGCACGGCTCACGCCTCTCCTTGTAGGGAGCATCCATGCCTCATCTATCCCAAAGGGCTCCTCACCTGGGCCTAGTGACTGTGACCCACAGTAATGGCCTGTTCTCACAGTGTGAGCCATATAGCACTCCACCACCGGGATTGGTGGGGTAGGAGTGGGGAGGGATCCACTTGACATTCAGACATCCTGGTCCCTTCATGCTGGTTCTAACTATTCACTCGAGGGACTGTTTATGTGTGATTCTCTTACTCTAAATCCCAGAAGTCTCTGCTTCTGTCCTGCCCAAAGCCTTTCTCTGGCTCCTTGTCACCTTGGTGTAAATACCTACCTACATCTTCCTTGCAGCCTGGAGTTGCCTGCTGCCTCTTGGTTTGCTCACTGAGTCCCAGACCAGTGTGTCCTTGCTCCAGGCCATTGCCTGGTGGTTGAACGCAGGACGACTGTATAAGGTGGGCACTCACACAGACACCTTCTGTGCCCAGGCTCACCTGTGTCTTCTTTCGGCTCTTTGCTGCCTTCAGACTCCACTCCTCCACCCTCTGAAGCATCGTGGATGGTCATCTTGTTGCTGTTGCCGATGGTGGCATCCACCAGCAAGCAGGATTTGATGTGGACTTTCTGGGCTGTGTTTGCATCAGGGTGAGCGCCTGGCTCAGGTGATTGCATGTTGAATGAAGTTCCCGGGTCAAAAGAGGTGGCTGAGACTGCAAGGTAAACCAAACAGAAGGTGGGAGAAGCGGGCAGTTGCACAAAGACCTGGCAGTCCCACCCTCAGGGCTGACTCTCATGGGTGACCGAGTAGGTCTGGTTCTTAGCCTTTGCCCAGCCACCTCACCTCCATGTCCTGGTACATGTCCTCACTGGTCAGCAACTGCCCCCCCCACCTCTGAGCTCAGCAAAACCACTGTGGTCTCCATATCCGGCTTCAGCACCTTCTTCTTGGCCTCCAGAGCCAACCTTCTTGTCTGTGGCCAGTTCTCAGGTGCCCTCCAGGACATGCCATCCTACTGTGCTTCATGTCTTTCCTCTCCCGGTCCCACCTCAGCATCCATGCCCTGTTGTCTCTTCGCGTTCACACTCACAAGTCCATGCTCGGCCTTCCCATCCCTCTTATAAGGCTCCCCTCCACTCGCAGAAACTGTCACGGTTTGCTGGTCCTGCTGCCGCACCCTTCCTCACTGACCAGTTCTCTATAGAGACATTCCTCTCTGTCTCTGTTGTTACCCCTGAAAACTCTGACTGTCTATGAATCTATAGTTCCTGGCAGGCCTCTGGCCAGGTCCTCGTGTCTCTGTGCCACTTGCTGAGGGCCTCCCGCCCCTGCGCCCCTGCGCCCCTGCGCCCCTGCGCCCCTGCGCCCCTGCGCCCCTGCGCCCCTGCGCCCCTTGCTTCCTCCCTCTCAGCCTCCACTCTGCACGGTTTGCTGTGCATGGGTGCTGGGAGACTGGGGACCCCTAGTGCCAGATCTAAAAGTTCAACACCCTGTTCAGTGGTACCCCTCCCATGGGTCAGGGTGGAGTGAATTTCCCATCATGCTTCTCTTCTTACAAAGATGCTGGCTTCAGGTCCTTTCTGGATATGTGGGGTGGTGGAGGCCGTGATCCCGGGAGGCCTGCCACTAAAGCTATAAGCACTGTGTTCCACCGCATCCTTCGGGAGGCTCATCTCATTGCCGTGGCCCAGCTGCACACGTCTAAGCAAGGATTTCTCCACATGGATGTGCTGAGCTCCCCAGGCGCCAGCTGGGGTGTCCTGAGAAGAGGGGCCCTCTGGCACAGGTAGCGAGAGAGGATGGTAGGGCCTGGGACCTGGGAAGGGCAGAGAGTTAAGGAATTGCTAGAGATGACTCCAGGTTGATCTAGCTGGAGCTGGGCAGCCTGCAGTATTCCCAGCTGGGCTCAGCATATTGTCGGGGTACCTGCAGATGGGGGGGGGGCGCCTGTCACCTGCCTCCTGGCTCTCCTCAACCTTTGACCCCCATCAAAGAAAGTCCACTGTGTGGGAATGAGTCCTCCATGCCTCTTGACAAGAGAGTTCGAGTCTTTAAGCACAGCCGAAATAGCTCAGTTGGGAGAGCGTTAGACTGAAGAGAGTTCCGGTCTTTGCCCTGGTGTTAGTTCCCTGGCGTTCGTTTTTAGCCTCACTTTTATGATTTTCAAATTAAAGGAACGCAAAAACTTTCAAACACATTTGAGTCCAAAAAAAAAAAAAAAAAAAAGGTAAGCACTTGACATCCATAAGTAAAATAGCCAGACAGGATGGCTGTCAGAGCCTGGGGAGTTATGGTTCTGAGGCCTGGGGCAGAGTAGATTCCTCCAAGGGCGGGGCAGGGACTTCTGGGCTTGGAGCTGATGCTGTTGTGCTAAGGCTAGGGTGTGAGGTGGCCCCACTCCCTCCAAGCCACATTGCCAGGTACAGAGGAAACACTCGCTGGGAAGCTCCAACCTCATCAAAACCAGGATGCTGAGGGATGGCTGGGGATGGCTAAGAGCAGGGCTGGGCAAGCGTGAGGACCTGAGTCTGTATCCAAGCAGCCACATAGAAAGCCAGGCATGGCCACATGGACCTGTACTTCTAGTGCTGGGTGACACTGAGACAGGGGGATTGCTGGGGCTTACTGGCTGCAAGGCTTACTCCAGGCTCAGTGTGACATCCTATCTGGGGGGAATAATGAGGGAATGACAGAACAGGACACCTGACATCCCCGTCTGGTTCTGAACGGACTTCACTAAACACACACAGGCACATACACATGACACTACACACACACACACACACACACACACACACACACACACACACACACACCCCACAACACTCCACATACAGTCACACACAATCACACACACACACACACTGCACACACACATCACACACACACACCACATACAGTCACACATGCATATATCACATACACCACAACACACACATACCACATGCACACATATCACACATACACACATATCACACACACACACACAAACACACCACATTCACACATATCACACACATACCATATACACCGCACAAACATTACATGCAAGCACATCACAATACACCACACACACCACACACACAAACACGACATACACCACACACACACACACACACACACAAAAAAAAACACAAACACACACAAAGCCACTGAGTGCATGATGACCCCAAATTTTCATGGCAACAGTTTGAGAGAGAGAAATGTGTTCAGAGCAGAGCATGGCAGTTGCCCTCGCTCCATGTCCTGCTGAGAGAGGGAGCCGAGCTTTTCTCACACAGACAGATTGGATCTCACTGAGTGCAGGTGATGCATGATCCAGGCTTCTCATCCTGAAAAGCCATTCCGAAGGCCATGCACATGAGGAAGTCCTTTTCTCCTTGAAGGACCAAGTCCCCTCCTCACTTTCTCAGGCACAGCAGGTGTCCTGGCCAGGCCCCCCTCTTACCGCTTTGACCACAGGCTATCTGCCTTTGCATGGTATTCCCATGGCCGATCTGGATGGCTTCTGACTCAGAGATGGAGATGTGATTGTTGGCTCCTTGTTGGCAGATCACATTGATCGGATTCTGCTGGTAAATATTCACAGTGGACTCTTGTTTCACTCCAGGATGAGCTACAGAACAATATTCCACTGAGTTCCTTTGTTTCAAGGGCATAGGGGCGCTTGGATCAACAGCACTAAACTTCCCTGGGAACTTGCTGCAACATGAGACCAGACCCCATACTGGGGGCCCAAGAACGAGAGTGCATGCTGACAGACACCTGCATGCTGACAGAAAGACACCTGCATGCTGACAGACAGAAACCTGCATGCTGACAGACAGACACCTGTATGCTGACAGACAGAAACCTGCATGCTGACAGACAGACACCTGTATGCTGACAGACAGAAACCTGCATGCTGACAGACAGACACCTGTATGCTGACAGACAGAAACCTGCATGCTGACAGATAGACACCTGCATGCTGACAGACACCTGCATGCTGACTGCTGACAGACACCTGCATGCTGACAGACACCTGCAACCCCAGCACTTGGAAGCAGGAATATTGGGAGTTCACGGTCATCTTAGCTACATGAAATTATCTCACGAAAGGAAAAAAATTAAACCATACTTTCTACCCTCGTTTGTGTAAAGACAAGCATACTTGAGCTAGGGCATTTTAGGTACGAATTCTTAAAAGGTACATTTCTTTATCTGGCTTTAAAAGACATTTTCCAGGTGTAGTGGCATATGCCTTTAACCCTAGAATTTGATAGGCATGTCTCTGTGGGTCTGAGGCCCCTTACTCTACATGGTGAGTTCCAGGACAGGCAGGGCTACACAGTGAGACTACCATGCAAGAAAAATGTCAGACATTTAAAAAGAACATGCTGGGGGGTCCCTGAGAGCACCAGGGCTCAGACTTATTACCACTGCACCTATGGAAGGGAAGCCTGGGGTCTCCAGGCTTCTACTTTGCAAGCCCAGCCCAGCACCCCCTTCAAACAACTTCATTTACTTATTTATCAATTTGGATTTTGTATGTTGTTTTTTTTTTTTTTAGTTCAGTCTAGCCTTGAACTTGTAACTCTCTTCCCTTTGTCTTCTGAGTGCTGAGCTAAGAGCTCTGCATCATCATAGCTGTACAAAATGCTCACAGGCTGCCCCCTGTGTCCAGGCTGAGCAATTCCAGTGTGCCACTTTCTCCAGACTTCCTGCATCTGCAGCTCTCTGATCCCTGCAGAGCTCCTGTCCCTCAGCAGTGACTAAAAGAAGTCTCATATATTTGTTGGGTCCCCCTGACTTTATTACCATTTGGATGTGACCCTGTGTTTGAAATCCAGCTGCTGTCCTCATCATCACTCTTCCTCCAATAGCCAGAAACCCTATGGGCATTGAGTGAGGCAGGCAGGCCTGTGCCAGCCAAGGCCAGCAAGCTGGGTGGCACTCCCTCTTTAAGCCTGCCAGCATCCCTCCCTCCTGGAACCCCTCCCAAAAGAGTATCGGTAAAATCTGACCCTAAGGCTGGAGAGGTGGCCAAGTGGTTAGAGCACTGGCTGCTCTTCCAGAGGTTCTAGCACTCCCACATGGGAGTGAGCAGCTTGGTTAGAGCACTGGCTGCTCTTCCAGAGGTTCTAGCACTCCCACATGGGGGCTCGCAGCCACCTGTCACTCCAATTTCCCTCCTCTGGCCTCTGCTGCCACCGCATGTATGTGGTGTATACACACACTCACAGGCAAACACTTATAACACATAAAATACATAAATCTAAAAACAAAATAAAACAAAATCTGACCCTAGGCCATTCAATCTTTACCCTTAACTTTTTCAGCCTGACCCTAGATGGCCCGATCCTGATCTTTGACCTTCCTGACCTGAACTTTGAACTTCCCAACTTGACCCTAGGCCATCCGCCCTGACCCCTGACCTCCCCAAACTGACTTTGACCTCTCATACCTAGCTCTTGACCTCTCCGACTTGAGTCGTAGATCATCCATGTGTTCCCATCATAGCTCAGGAGGTGCCTGTTCCTCATGGCGTACAGGTGTGGGTTCACCTCTTTGGCTGTCTTCATCCCCAGAGCCTTGGCGATGTGCAGGGCCCTGTGAGGCCCGCTGGTCTCCAGGAATCTGATGATTCTTTCATCTGCAAGTGAGGGGCAGGCGTTCAGTAGGAAGAGGGCCCTGGGCTTGCGTCTGCCCAGCACCCACTGGCTGTAACCTGGGGCGCTTATGAAGCCCAGGGGCATGGTCTTGCTTTGTTTGAGGCCCATGCTCCTACTGGGTACAGTGTCACCTGGAGACCGGATATGTGCATGAAGCTGGCTCAGGCGTGTCAGCGCCTGGAAAATAAAGCACTTCTTATCCATTTGGAGCCTTTGGCTTCTGACACCGAGTCTGGCCTCTGAGATTCTTGCGAAGCCTCGGTGGTGGACATGATCCCAAACACCCTTTCCCCTTGTGCCCCTAAGAGTAGTTTGGGGAGGCCTTTGGTGTGCACTGAGCTGAAGGCCAGGACTCCCTGGAGTTGTGCCTACAACTTTAGGGTCTTGGGGCTGGAGGAAGAAAAATGTGTCCATTGGAGACAGGAGACGCTCTGATCCACTGAGCAACGGGAACACTTCCACAGGACAGCTAGGGGACAGGACATTAGGCTGGGGTCCCAGGGTTTCACATCTGCTTGGGTCACAGCTGCTGGCTGCAGAAGGGCAGGGTCTTGAGGCTGCCTCCTCTCCTGGCTCCAACTGCAGGAGTTGCTGAAGGCTAGGTGGCCTTGGGTACAGCATCAGCAATGGAGCTGTGAGCCCTCTCTGCTCAGTGGCTCCGAGTGAATCCCTACTGTCATTGTGACAATTGCCTGGATTGTGCCTTTACTATTGCTAGTGTCTACCTCACACCTACCACGTACAAGCCCTATTGGTGAAAAGAAATCAAAAGATAAAGAGAGGATGGCAGAGCTCAGATTTGAAAGCCAAGCCTGAACCTGGACTTGCCCATTGTCAAGATGGCCCTTGAGGGGAGTCTGCTGTGCCCCCAAATGACAGATTACCGAGGGTGGGCTGGGCAGTGGGGTCCTCAGGGATTGCAGGAGCCTCATCTCCAGGAGCATCCCTGCCTAAACACCATGTGGCAGGGGCTGGTGAGTGAACTTTTCCCTCCTTCTTTAGGCGGTAAAGGACTTGGTTGAGTGTTTTCTTGGGCACTTGGCACTCCTTTACCAGCTTGGGGAGCTTCACAGAGCCGCCGGCTCCACTCAGTATCTGTAGGATCGTTTGCTCCAGATTGTCTTGGGGGAGGAACAGAGAGAAGAGTCAAGCCCAGCCCCCATTGGAGGCTAGCACCCATCTCCAGAGGTAAGAAAGATACGAGAACCCAGAGCCGACAGCATCGAGGAATCACTGAGAGGCAAGAGTGTCAGACTGAGTGGACCCTGGCCCCATGGCTGAATGGTGGGATGCACTCATACGGCAGAGGAGTGTACATGCTGTCCTGTGTATTGGTGTGGAACCCCAGACAGGTAGGAGCCCTCAGCTCTCAGATGATGGAGCCAAGCCTGGCCCGGAAGCCCCTCCACGCTGCCTGGTGCCTCTTCCAGCCTGTATGGAGAGTCCCTTTCTCTCCATCTCCCATGGATGCCATGGGCATTCCTAGGTCTCCCTTCCCATTCCAGGTGGATCAGGAGCCCTGAAAACGCAGCTCAGATACCTCCCACTTACTTTTTTCTCCCTTACCCCAGCCTCAATGACATCTTCCTGGTAGCATTACTAGTCTCCCAGGTGACCACCAACTCCAGAATGGTTCCCTCCAGCACCCTCTACCTAGAGATCCGATGGACCTCTGCTCCCTGCCCAGCCTCCTCTGCGCCTGACCCCAAGAGCCACCCAAGTTCCACCTCGTGCTCCTTCTGGTTCCTTCCATCTGCCTGCTTCTACCTTCCTTTGTTTTTCCTCTTGAGACAAGGTCTCACCATATATCTCAGGCTGGCCTGGAACTCACAGCAATCCTCCTGCCTCAGCCACCCCCTCCCCTGCTGGGATTATAGGGCTGGGCTTCCACTCTGCTTGCTTTTTCTCTGCTGGGGCGTGTATGTCCTGCAGTGGGCTCTCCTGCCCTCCCTTCTCCCACTGACTCCTAAGGGCACACAGGCAGAGCTTTCTCCAAAGGGTGAGCATGAAGGAATGGATGGTGGTGACTGGCTGGCAAGGAGAGTATTAGGAAGCCACAGGGACCAGGTGAGGGTTAGTTTCTGGTCTTCTCCACCTGGCCCTGAACCTGCCACTGCCCTGGCTCCTCTGCCTTTGAGCAACATGCCCTAGCATGGTGCGAGAATGGAAAAGGGTGACTTTGGGGGCTGCAGAGATGGCTCAGGAGTTAAGAGCAGTGGCTGCCCTTCCAGAGGTGCTGAGTGTGGCTCCCGGGAACCACGGAGCGGCTCACAATCACCTAGAATGAGACCTGGTGCTTCTTTGACCAGAGCACAGCCGTGCATTCAGGCAAAACACTGTATACACAGTAAATAAGCATATCTTTAAAAAAAGTTTCGAAACAATGAAGAAAAGCAGTAAAGTAAATCCTGTCCACAGCTGCACGGCCCCGATAGCCTCGCCTCATACAGTCTTTCACCCACAGCCTCGCACTGCCCTGTAGCGGAGAGAAGAGCATGAACATAGAATCAGAGCCAAATCTTCTTATCAAAACAAAGTCCCCTCTCACAGTTCAGAGCCTGAAGCCCATCGAAGGCCTCAGTGACCTGTCTGTGAGGTGAGAGCTACCACTTGTGCCTGAGGGCTGTTAGGAACCAGCCTAAGCAAGGGTCAAAGTGTGACGCACAGGGTCCCCGAAGCAAGCTAGCTTCTTGTGGTGCCTGCTTCCTGAGCTCTGATGTCCTCAGAATATTGCTGCTGTCTGGGCCAAGCAAAGAATTAGAAGGAGCCTTAGAAACCAGCCCAGGGTCCACGCTGCGTGGGGGAAGGAAGAGGCTCGCCCGGCTTACCTCCTGTGCTCGGATCAACAGCAGCTTCTGCCATGCTCATGGCAACCTCAGGGCACCTTTGGGGCGGGGGGTGGCAGATTCCCGAACTGTGGCCAGGCCTGAGGCCGTGTCCACAGAAGAAGAGCGGCTTCTTGGAGCTGCAGACACCATATGTTTCCACCCCGGAAACGAGCACCCATCTGGCTCCATCCACCCAGCTTTCTGGAGAAAGAGAAAATGAAACTTGGTGGTTCTCGAAAGAAACGTTGAAATCAGGGTGGGGTGAGCAAGTTGGAGCTGAATAAATGACGGGGATGAGAGGAGTCTTGGCCTCTGGGGTGGGAACTGCCTATCTGGACTCCCACTAGGAAAAAGGTACCTACTGCGCATTCCCTACTTGCTGACAGGGCAGGACTAGTACTGTCATCCACATACCTTCTAGAAAAGGAGCCCCTCACTTTCATACATTCTCAAAGAGGTCAGTGGTCCTCGAACAGTTCGGACATCACTCTGTTCCAATTACAGACTAAGGGACTGAGCTCACAGAGATGGCCTCGTGCCCACAACTCAGCCTACAATAACCCTGAATCTGGGTCCCAGCTGCAGGAGGGAGGTCCTTGGCACCGGTTAGCATTAGTGCATAGGGCATGACAGGAGCAGGAAATGGAGACCAGAAGGAGGTATATATGTACCTGCAAAATGTCTGCAAAGCAAGCTGCAGGTCCCCAGTCAGCCTTGTCACTGGACAGGCCACGGCCAGGCCAGTTCCACACAGCCAGTTCCACCGGCCTGTGCATGGGGAAACTTTAAAATTTCCAAATGATTTTTATGACTTCCAGGGGGAAACCCAGAGCCTGCAGATGCAGCTAAGGGAAACAGAAAATTGTACAGCCCGTTGAGCCCCCCAAATAAATAAGGTCACCCTTTAAACACTCAGCTGAGCCAGTTGAGGGACATCAGGCTCCCTAGAGGGGCTATTTGGGGACCAACCACTAGGTGGTGCCCTCTCATCAACCGGCTCTTGCCTGGGGGTCTTGCTTGGTCCTTGGCCAAGGTGGCTCTGGCCCTAGAGGGCTGGGCTTCAGGACATGCCATGAGAACCTGACACTGGGGTTCTGCTGTGAACATCTCAGCATTCCCTATTCTTTATTGTTTTTAATTTTTGAGACAGGGTCCCACTCTGTAGCCAAGCCTGAATTCAGATTCTTGACCCCTCCATTATCATTTCTTGAGTGGCAGGACTGTATCACAATACCTCTTGGACAACCCCCCACCTCGTCCCCCCAGACAAGGTTTCACTGTGTAGCCCTGCCTATCCTGGAACTCGCTCTGTAGACCAGGTTGGCCTGGAACTCACCGAGATCCGCCTGCCTCTGCCTCCCGAGGGCTGGGATTAAAGGCGTGCTCCACCATTGCCTGGCCAAAATCCTTCTAAACTTTTGGATTATTTCTTATTCTTTGTCTTTGTTTAAGAAAAACCTCAAGCCAATTTTCAATGCTGGGATTATCCCAAGCCTCCACAGCTGTGGACTGGGCAGATGGACCTTTTCCCTCTTGTGCATGACACAAGACTCCAGGTACTCCAGATTTGGTGCAGCCACCCGGCTTCTTTTTAAACTGTTGCTCTGCCATTTGTAGCCTCTGTGCTTAAGTTTTTCAAGGGTTGCTGGAGTTCCACCTGTCACACATGCTCTCCTTCTGGCAGGAAGGAGCAAAGGACGGGTATCCTAGGCAGTTTCAGCAGGCAGCTGAGTACAGGGCCATCTGAGGGAGTCTCGGTTGCAGGGTTGCCCAGGTCTGATTGGCTGTGGATGTGTCTGTGAGAGAATTATCACGGTTGGTGTGAGAGGACCCAGAACACCGTGGGCAGCATCATTCCTAGGCTGTGAATAAAAAGCTGGTTGAGCATGAGCCAGGAAGCAACATCCTCAACGATCTTTGTTTCGGGTTCTCACAGCTCTTCTTTCTGAGATGGGCTGTGAACTGTACGCAGAAATAAACCCTTTCCTCTCCAGCTGGGTTTTGTTTGTTTCTGTCATAGTGTTTATCACAGCCGGAAAAACTCAACAAGCACCATGGACATCTCCCTTTAAAGATCACATCCTGCAGGCCCCAAACACTACTTCAGATCACAGCAATATCTATCGCAACAGATGTTGGCAGAGACCTAGGTGTCCTTGTCAACTCAAGGCTCTTCCTCTGCATGGAGGCCGTCTCCTGCCCCACCCAGCATTTCCCAGCTTCTTTCTCTAGCAGATGCTACTCTGAGTCTGATGGGGTTCAAGGCCAATGGGGAGGGAAGGAGGGAGGGAGGGAGGGAGGGAAGGAGGGAAGAAAGGAAAGAAAGCAGGTAGGTGCTTCCTCCTCCAGGCTAGGAAGGGCCCAGACATACAAATGGCATGCCAAGCTGCTCTCTTTATCCTGGAGAGCACGCTCCTTCCAAATGGCTCATGTTTTTCTAGAAACTATTAGAACTCTCCGCCCAAAGCAGGGGATAATTACATGTTACTGATCTCGAGTCTTCAGGTTTTGTGATCTCTCTTTTAAAAGAGAGATATTTTTACCACATATTGTGTTGGCAAAACCCACCTCCTTCCCTCCCCATAACCAGGCTCTGGAAGGAAGGAAGGAAGGAAGGAAGGAAGGAAGGAAGATAGGAAGAAAGGAAGGAAGGAAGAAAGGAAGAAAGGAAGGCAGGCTGCAAACTTTGTTTGGTCAGAGGTCAGACATAGCTGGTGACAGCAAGGGGATAGTTTATGGCAGGTGTGTTGGGGTGATGAGCCCCCTCTTCAAATCCCTGGGGGTGGGCGTCCTGCAAGACAGAGCAATCAGTGGGTCTCAGTGTTACTCTGTCCACTGGAGGCTAGCACGCTTGGGCATCTCTTCTCAGCCCGGGCCTTGAACACGGCCCTGATCTTTATGCGTGTTAGTTTCCCTTTGGCAGTGGGATACCACAGTTCTTAACCCAGTACTGGCTGCATCCGAGGTTCCTTCAGAGAGCTCAGGACATGGTACAGGCTGCTTGCTTTTTGTCACTGCCCCCAGCTGCCTCTCTGATTTGGCCAGACACTAGCCAGCAAGCCCCAAGATCTCCAGATTGTGCCAACCCTACCGCTGGAGTGCTGGAGCTGTAGACATTTGGCTTTTATGTGGGGATTGGGGACTTGAACTCAGGTCTTTATGCTTGTACAGTGGACACTTTACAACTGAGCCATCTCCACAGGCCCCAGAAAGACTGTTAAAGAAAAATTATTTTACAGATTATCTGCCCACAAGAGATTCACTTAGTCAAAGCTGGCCATGGTTTCCTCGCCAAGTATCACTCTTGGGAATGCTTACTGGGTGAGACTATTTCGCCATAAATTCTCTTCAACTATAGCGAAGTATCATGAAATTTTCATGACAACTAAATGGGACGATTAATGAATTTGACATGATGCTTTGGTTTCCAGATGGTTAATTAAACATTTACTATGGTGTTTTTTTCTTTGTCTCCATGGTTTGAGGCCCAAACTCTTCCCTCTCTTTTATACTCAGACTCTGACCTGCGGGTGCTGTGGGTGTTGCATTCTCAGTCACTAACTTGGGCACCTAGTAGGCACACAGCCAGCCAGCACGGCTGTCCTTGGCTGGGCTAGGCCTGCCTCTACCTTGGTGTTTGTGGCTCTCTGAATGATCCAGAGGCTCACGGGGCACCTGGTCACAAGGTGCTGATAAAGGTGGTTGATGTGTGGGGTGGAGGACGAGCTCTTTAGGCTCCTCCTAGATTCTCTCTGTAAGGAAACTTGAAGGTGGGCAGCCAAGTGCTCCTGGTCCAGCAGGAAGAAACCACAGCAGTTACCAAAGGACTGAGCTGTTCAGTAACCCTGAGCTGAGGCCCAATGGCAGCTGGGCCTTCTGCCTCTATACTGACTGGTGGTTTTAAACCCTGGGCCTTGGAGATGGTTCCATGTAAAAGTAAACTGTTTCTGTACTAGGTACTGTGTGTGCATGCGATAAAACCACCTTAGAGTTCTTTTAGGGGGGCTGTGTGCTCCAACCCCAGCGCCCAAGAGCCTTGTGTTAAGCCTAACACCCAAAATGGAACACCCATGTGCTGCTAGGATCCTTCTCTGCTCCACCTTTTGGGCCAGGAGGGCTTGGTGCCTAGCATTCTGGGGTATAGCTTACCCTACAGGATACTTTGGCATCAGCCTGAGGTTGGACTTTACTTGCAAACAGCTTACTATCCCCCTCCGCTGGGGTCAGGGACTACATTAGACCTCTTGCACACAGTCTGTGTCTCAGATTTTGCAGACCTTACCTGAGCTTTCCTTAGGTAATGAGTGATTATTTTCCAAGAGGGTAGAAACGTTGTTAATATTTGGGTAACTCCTTTAACCCCACCAGCCTCCCTCGCCCTTTATCGGAGCCACTTGTGGGAGCAAGGGTTTCACAGCCCAGTACCACCTGATCCAAAATAGACAAGTCGAACAAACTGTTTAAGCTCCCCCCACCCCCTGCAGCTACTGTGAAGACAGCTACTGTCTTCACCCCATGTGTCCTGGGTTTTGCAGAGGATGGGAGTGGGCAGGGAGAGCTACACAGCCAAAAAAAAAAAAAAAAAAAAAAAAAAAAAAAAAAAAAAAAAGGGGGGGAAGAAAATTCTCTCCAAAGAACTGTAACATTTATTTTGTATTGCAGCTTTTCATAAAGCCATCATTGGCACCAGAGATTATAGATGCACAAAGAACAGCTTCTTCAGGCCTGGGTACAGTCTCCCGCAGTGGTGTGCTCAAGGCATGGAGGGAAAATCCCAGGTGTTGACCAGGAACAGAAGGAATGAGGACGGCTGCAAAGGAGGGCATCCCAAAGCCAAGCAACAGTGCAGCAGGACAATGTGCTGAGGGAGGGGTGTCAGGTGACCCAAGTGAAGTAGCCCACTAGACTCTGCCGGGCAGTGGCACTTCTGGCTCTGAAGTCCAAAGCACAGGCCATCATGACAATGTTCTATGGTTCTGGAAACTGAGGGGCACGTGGAAGTCTGTTACGTGGGTCACAGCAATGGCCAAGAACAGAGAGCGGGTCTGGTTTCTGTTACATGTAGGGTCTGTTACATGTAGGGTATGCGGTTGTGGTTTTAACTTTTTGCTAAAACAACAGACTTCTGAAAAATCTCCTTTTGCAGCAAGCCAAGTCATGCAGACCCAAGCTCTTCGAAGCTGCCCCACAGCCCTGGGATCTGCAGGGAAACAACCCTGCAGCAAGCACCGGAGACAGGAATTGGGACAGAGGGAGCTGTCACTGTCTTGGAGCCTCGTGGAGCAGCAGACCCCTTCTCCCAAGCCAACCAGGTCGGTCCCTCTCCGACCAGTCACTTCCCAGCACCTGCCTAAGTTCCCATGGGAAGACTAGCATCAGAGATGAGTGTCCAGAGCTCAGGGTCCCAAGGCCAGCAGCTTGAAGGAGTTGACAGCATCTAGTGAGAGTGCCTGGAGCTCAGGGTCCCACAGCCAACAGGCTGCATGTTTGCCAAGGACACAGAGTGTCCTGACTTTGACAAGCCCCTCCCCCTCAAGCTCCTCCAACCTGAATCCAAAGGGCCCCACTTTTCATTGTGGGGGGGTTGTTATTAGAGGGGGTGGGCCTGCCCCTAAGCCAGATGGGCTCAGCAAGCTCCCCGAAACAACCTACCCAAAGAAGTAAGGACAGCCAGTTTTGCTCCAGAGGGCAATGGGCACATTTCACCCTGGCTTTCAGTTGAAGCCACATACACAAACAAGGTTCACTGTCTAGATTTCCCACCAGGACAGAATCACACGCAGTATTCCACAAGAAGGCTACATACAGGGACAGCAGGAGGCCTCACCAAGCGGGGAATGACCAGGACAGTTAAGCTCCCGCAATTTCTGATATCTCTATGTGACATTTCAAAGAATTCTCTTTGAGAGAGGAGCCAATTTTAGGTCAACCCCTCCTGGAGAAGCTGGTCAGGACACTGACAGGTGTGGGGATTTTCTGCCAGGCAGGTCTGCAGAGTTCCAGGCTCAGTGGCAACATGGGGGTACCCATCCTTAAAAAACAGTATGTGTATAAACAGGCATGGTGACCTGAACCTAAAAGATTTCCAAGTAATAAAAAGTGCTGTATCTAAGTTATTGCCTCTTACCTTGTTTATACCTCTGTGGATGGGAAGAGGTGGCAGAGTCACCCCATGAAATCCTGTAGAGCCTCCAGAGGAGGAACACTTCTGCCCCTGCTGAACACTAGGGGACTTCAGTAACACCCCCTTTTCTCTTGTGTTCACACAGGGCAGAACAGCAATCCTTCTGGGAGCCCCATCACAACCCATGTATTAATTAAACTCTGGGAAATGAGACCCTGACCCTGCAAAGAAGTGACGAAAGCAGACAAAGGCTCACATCATTCTGGAAGAGAATGGTACTGGTGAGAGAAGGCAAATCGTTTTGGAGCCTGAGGTGTGGGCTGATGTTGGTAGCAGTCTTTTGTAACTTTTTGGGCTCCCTGGGGCAGGTGGGGGACACTGGGGTGACTGTCCCTTTTCATCTCAGGTTGACTATTAGTTGGCTTCTTGAAGTGAAAATCAATATAGAGAGGAAATAGATTGTCTGAGGTCAAGCAGCTTAACAACACCCTGGGCCTTTCCTGAATGCCAGCAAAGAACCGCATACACCCAGCCTTGGCATGTTGGTACCTAGGTCCCTTCTGCAGAAAGCTTGCTGCTGGATCCCCCTGGCACCAAATGCAGGGAGTAGCTTTGGTATTTGGGGCACACCTGGCCCCTTCCACTGAACCTTCATAGTTTTTGTGTTTTAAAGAGGAAGAAAAAAAAAAAACTAAGATTCCTTCAGTAACAGTTTATTTTCACATGGGGAAAGGCATCTGCAATCAGGTACCTTTGTGGGGCAGTCCTGACTCAGCTGTAACCCAGAGGGACTACGTGGGTCCCCGTCAGCAGGGAATGTGTAACTGCTTATAGCCTATTTGGGCAGAAGCAGCCATTGGCTTCGGGTGCACAGCCCTGGGGAGCCCGACTTTCTTGCGGGGGGTGGGGGTGGGGTGGTGGTGAGGGTGGGTGTCCTCTGAGACCCGGAGGGACACGCCCACTGCTCTGTTCAGACCAAACTCAACATTTCTCCTTCAAGTCTCAACACACTCTCTAGAAGTTTCCATCAAACAAGCACTGATATATTATATTAAAAAATAGTGCAAAATCTTAACATTTATATAAATAGCTCTAAACCCCTGCTTTGTAGGTTTTTTTTTCTTTACAAGGTAAATACACACTTTCGGAGTTGGCACTCAAAAAAATTGCCATTTTTTTCTCTTCTAGATCAGAAAACAACTTTTTTTTTATAGGCCTCTTCTAGTACAAAAATACTCCTGCTCTCCCACATACAGTGTCTCTTATTTTATATATATTTATATATATAATATTGCAGATCTTAAACAAAGGTTTTGTGCAAATATGTCTTTAAAGTTAAGTGAAACCATCATAAACAAAAGAAATTAAGCATTCACACATGGAGCTCAACTAAGAACAATGAAAAAAAAAAAGACTAGTGGAGGGTTTTCTCTTTTGCCTTCAAGACACAGCTCGACAAAGGAACGTGGTAATTTTTTTTTTTTTTGCAAGCTTTCTGAGCTTCTGCATTCAGACCACACAGAACATGTAAATATTTATACACAGAGAGGAGAGCTGGCACACGTCACACGGCCTGTGTGTCCTCTGCCTTCCTCTCTCTTCTCTCTTAAGTGCGGAGTGTTTCTGCCGTTTGCCTACAGGTGCCCCGGCCCCCACTCTTAGAGGGGGTGACCTTTCTGTTTCTCCTTCTCCTTGTTCTCCAGGGGGGCAAGGTGAGGGTGGTGGAGCCGGGTCCCCTCTAGCAGGGAGGGCGGCCCGTTACTCTGCTGGTGGTGGAAGGAGGACCCCGGGTAGTGACCGATGACCTCACTGTAGGTGGGGGGCGGCCCCTCCATGCGCCCACCGCTGCTGTAGCAGGTAGCGCTGATGCCCGAGTTACTGCTGGGGGGACAGGGGCCTCCCAGCATGGTGCTGTCCATGAGGTCGCTGTCGAAGATGGTCCGGTTGGGGGGCGCGCGCACAGACTCTCGGTTCAGCTCCAGCTGTTGCTCAGGGTCCCGCAGCTGGAGGGCGCAGGGACCCTGGTAGGGTGGGGGCTCCTCCCCATCGGACAGTGAGATGGTAGGCGGCAGGGCGATCTCCTGCTGCAGGTAGGGGTAGGTGGGCTGGAAACGGCTCCGCTGGACGAAGGGGGGCACAGCCAGGCGGGCACTGGGTCGAGGAGGGGCATAGACCTGTGGCTGGAAGGGGCAGAGTAGGAGTCAGGGAGGGAAGCAGACTCAGATCGGGTCCCCAGATTCAGAGACTGGGCTGTGGGTTCAGTAGGGGCTGCCCCAGGTGAACCTCTGGAAACAGGGCCAGCTGTAGATGCCACCATCCCGCCCTCCTCTCCCCCAATCAGGGAGTGTGTGTGATCCTGGACAAGGGCCCAGACTCTGAGAGCAAGGGGCACCACAGGACAGAAGGTGGGGCTTGGTCTTACCTCTGGCATTGCGGCTGACACCGTACTCTCTGAGGGCCAGAGGCATCCTTCCTGTAGGGTGGAAAGGAATACAAGGTCAAACAGGAGCAACAGTGGGCAGAGCTCTTGACACAAGGTTCCACGCATCCTAGAGGCAAACTTTTCACCCTCAAGTCCTGGGCCATCCACTTCTCTCCCTCCACCCTCCCCACATCTGTGTGGTCAAGGACAAGACCACATGGGCCTTCTTGGCTTCTCCCGAGCTCCCGCTGCTGTCCTGTCGGGCTTTCCGAAGCACACGTGGGATCTGTGAGGCGGCACCCTTTCTCAAAGCCTGCAGGCAGCTTCCCTGGGCAAGAGGACTGACCGTTAAGGAAGCCCAGCATGGCCCTCCCACCTGCCTTCTCTTCCAGAACTGCTTGCTCCCCCACGCCATCTCATCCAAACATTTAACTTTGTCCTGGTGGGTTCAGCACCTGAACATATGGACACATACACCTGCTGGAGATGCTAGTGAATTTAGCGTTGAACGTAACAATCACCTGACCCTCGGGGTACAACAGAAAATGACAGGTGCCACCACTACCACCCCCGACTCCCAGAAACCAGGTCTGACATATCTCAGCATGCTAAACACATGCCAGGGGGCTTTGGACTGGCCACCCCACTGCCACCACGGGGACAGTTTCCTGCTGATGTTCAGCGCCCAGGTCTCTATAGAGCAGTGGTTCTCAATCTGTGGGCTGCAGCCCTTTTGGGGGTTTCATATCAGATATCCTGCACATTAGATATTAACATTACGATTGATAACAGTATCAAAATTACAGTTATGAAGTAGCAATGAAAACAGTTTTAGGGCTGGGTTCACCACAACATGAGGAACCATATTAAAGGGTCACAGTCTTAGGAAGGTGGAGAGCCGCTGTCATAGAGTCTCAAACATTTTTTATCAACAAACAGACATGGAGTCGTTTGTGTGATGGCTGTCACTCCTGAAGCTCGTGTCCTCCGCTGTGAGGGACCTGAGCTGCCCTGAATGGCTCTAGGTGTAACTCCCAGCCTGGAGAAAGGATGCCTGAATTTCGGCTTCACTGAGATGTAGCTACAGAAGTAATGACCTTGAACGTTTCAAGCTTATGGTGTGGCCAAATGCTGACACCCCAACACCATAACCCATCTTTCTAAAACTGCCCTGTGCTACTATTTCACTGAGTTTGGGAAAGGGTGTCCCTCCCCAAGCTGCAGAGGCTCGCAGTTCACCCAGTGGCCACTTGGTGGTTCCGGGGGCTTGCACCTGCAGGTGAAGACTATGTCTCTCCTTATACAGTGAATGGCCCTGGCTGCTTTTAATTTGTACAAGCCAGACCCACAGGTGTTTCCTGCTGTCCTCACCCCACCCACTGGAGCCCCGCTCAGCTCCCCCTCCCATACACAGCCATCCAGTCCACTTGCTTGGGCACCTCTGCCTGCTGGATAGTAAGGCCTGAGCTGGGGCCCTGCCTTGCAGATTAAGTCAGGGAGATGGGAGCTCTTCCGCACCCACCGCACCGCAGCCAACAGGGCTTGCAAGGTTCCCACGGGCCCCCTATGCTGCACCCCCGCCCAGGGTCCTGCCTCTGCTCTGGCTCTGCCCCTCCCACAGGGCCCACTGCTTTCTACCCACACCCCCCCTCCCCCAAATCTGCTTAGATTCTTTTGCACTTCCTGCAGCCTTCAGGATGAGCAGCCAGCCCCACCCACCCGCTGCCACTCCAGCAAAACTCCCAGCCCTCACACGTGTTTCCTTGCCTGTAGCATGTACGATGCACACCTCCCCTACCTCCGAGCCCAGCTGTCCTGGTTAATTTTTATTGTCAGTTTGACATGACCTAGAAGGAATCTGAACTGAAAAACTGCCTCAATCAGGTTGGCCTATTGCCAGCTGGTGAGATACTGTCTTGATGGATGATTGAGGAGGAGGGCCCCGCCCACTGTGGGAGGCCCCGCCCACTGTGGGAGGCCCCGCCCACCGTGGGAGACACCGTCCTTGGGCAGGCTAGAGAGTTAGACGGAAAGCAATGCTCCTCCATGGTCTTTGCTTCAGGTTCCTGCCTTGAGTGTCTGTCCTGGCTTCCCTCGATGATGAACTGTGACCTAAAATGGTGAAGTAACCTGTCCTCATCTAAGATGCCTTTGGTCACAGCAACAGAAAAGAAACTCCCTACACACAACCTCATCTTCTCTGCCTACTCTCTCTGCTAGGCTGCAGCTGTGCCGGGAGGGGCTACCATATCCGCCATGCCTAGCATGTAGTGTGGTTCACAGTACATGCTCAAGTTACAAACACCGACCACCACTTAACCATCACTCAGTGTTCCCTAACCTTGGGGCTTCAGGAAGTCACTGCACGGAGGTGGAGGCCAGCCCCAGCCAGCAATGAGGACAGTCCCTTCCTCCCTTCTTCTACAACTGTGCTCCTTGGCCTATTATGGCTCTGGGGCTCCCTCTTGCTCCTGACACTGGCTGGGGTGTTGGCTCCTGTTTTTCGAACACTTCCCAGTTGGGCTGCCCCAAGTTCACCATGGCTTCTCCACAGGCTCCCTGGACCTCCCCAGAGCAGGCATCTGCCAGCCATTTCCACAAAGGTTCAGAATAACATTTCTGTATGCATGAACTCTCAAAGAATAACTAAAAACATTATACCAGGGGGAAAAAAAAAGCAAAAAACAAAAACTCCAAGCAGTTTCTGCTTTGTTAAACTCTAATAGCTCATAGACACTAACAGGCACGGTTGGGTGCCCATAAAACTTTATGCGCAAACCTAAGCACACAGCCTTTGGGTCAGGCCAGGCTGTTGAGGCCTAATGGTGCCCACCTGACTCAACTCCAGATCAAGTGCTACTACTACCTTCCCGGAAAATGCCTTCAGGCTGCTTCCAGGCAGGGATCTGATTGTCTCCTTGGCTCCATAAGTGACAATAGTTCCCTCCCTGTGGGCAAGGAGTCATAAAATTCTGTAAAGCAAACCTCTGGCAGGTGGAAAGTTGGGACCCACCCTGACACAGGCTGAGAAAGGCCTGGATGAATCTCTTTGAAGCTGGGTATGGATCTAGACATGACTCCCACTGACCCCTGTATCTGGTTTTACTATGGTCTTGCCTTTGGCTCCAGAACGTGAACTCTTGGCAGGCTAGGCTCCATGGGGAGCAGGAGACCTATGCCAAGGGTTGATGAGAAGATAAAGTGGCCCGAGCCGAGCTTCTGGTCTGATGTGACCTCGTTGACAAACCACACTCCCCAGGGGAGCCACTGATGAGGTGATGCTTACAGCCAAGTCCAGTGGAAACAGACACAGGCTGGGAGGGGTGGACAGGACAACAAGGCAGGGACCAACTGTCTCAGTGGACAGTGGAAGGCCAGCTGGGGGATGCTTAGAAGTGGACATTCGTGTCCCCCCTAAACCAGCCACCTCTTATGTTTATCTTATGAAAGAGGCACCTCAGAGAGTGGCTTGGTCACAAAAGTGACAGACGGACACTGAGGACTTTCCCCAGGCAGTTTCTCGCCTGCTGTTCTGGGTCTAGGGAGAGGTGACCTGCATATAAGGCAGGTGTAACGAGATGAAACTGTGGCTGACTCACACAGGTAGGAGGGCCCCCAACTCCAAGGTCACCTTGAAAAGAAGTCACTGCCAGAGACATTCAAGGGACAAGGCCTGGACGGGCAGGTGAGCCCATTGAGACACACTGAGCCCAGGCAGACAACTGTTATTTTGGTCTCTGTGGGAGGTCACAAGTTCTGGAGACATCTCAGACACACTATGTCAGAAAGAGAGGGGGTCCCAGGGGAACTGTCACCTTCTGCTCCAGGCCTCCCCTGGGTTCCCTGTTTATGCAGCCAGGTGGCACTGGGGAAAGAGTGAAGGAGACACTCTCTTTGAGGCCCAGTGTCTTGGGAGGAAGGTCAGAGTCTTGTCTGTGTCAGCAGCCGAGCTCAGGTGTCCATGCAAAACAAACTCCTGCCCCTCTGCCACCTGCACCCAGAGCCGGTTTCCTCATTCCACACTGTGGCTAACCGCACCTCACAATGGGTGGTGGGGTCTTCACAGGACACAACATGAAAGCTGTTTGGCCTTAGGCAAGTGTTCCACCTCTCTGAGCCCTAGTTTCTCCTCTGTGAGGGAGTGAGCCCTGGATGTCACTCCTGGCTGGCACTGTGTGAAGAACACTTGCCAGGCAGACGGCAGTGCCTGTTGCTAGGTAACAGATAACAAATGAGCCAGGTGAGCCAGGGCATGGCAGGCAGGGTTCCTATACAGCAGGTGCCAGCTTTGCCCTCAGGATGTGTCTTGGGCCTCAGTCAGGAGTGCCTGTGTCTCTGTCACAGTTCTTGCCCCGATGAACCAACTGGTGACGGCACTGAAACCAGGCCTGACGCAAACAGAGATGCCCAAACCTGCCAGGGACAACGCTGCTTACTAGGGTGACGGCCAGTTCTTTCTTGGCTTAGCCCTTAGACTCTACGTGCCTCTGCCAGCCTGGGACATCCCTCAAACTTGGGCACTCTGCCCAGCATGGCCCAACTCATCCCACCCTCCCAGCACCTGCTTGCTCAGCCATCCTGGAGATGGACTGCACCCTTGGATAACACACCTGCTAGCTGCCTCCTGCCACTGCTGGCCTGCCTAGAGTAGCTTCCTATCCTGCACTGCGAGCCACAAAGTGACTACACCTCCCTTTACCCCGCTGTTGCTGATGGTGAACACCTGAGAGCAGAGCAAAGGTCCCTAAAGGGTCAGATGTCACAGTCAAGCGGGCAAGTGTCACCCACAGATGACTACCCAGGCAGCAGTGACTCTGGAGTCCAGTGGGGATGCTGTTGGGTCCCAGGAAGTCCTTGATGCTCACAGTGCTCATGCATCAAAATACAATGTGTCAGGCAGGGTCCCCTCAGGCGTAGTATGGTTGTTCCTCAGTACTACAGAGGGTGGTTTTAGGTTCCCCAGAGGTACTAAGACCAGTTTTGTTTAAGCCCCGTGTGTGTGTGTGTGTGTGTGTGTGTGTGTGTGTATGCTTGCTTGCACAGAGTTTATGTTTTATGTATCTATCATGTATTCCAATTTTGGGGTTTTATTGTGTGTGTGTGTCTGTCTCTGTGTGTGTGTTTGTGTGTGGTGTGTGTGTGTGTGTGTGTGTGTGTGTGTGTGTGTGTGTGTGTGTGTGTGTGTATGCTTGCTTGCACAGAGACCAAGCAGCCCCTCTGGGTGCAATAAGTTACTCTAGGTGACTGCCCCTGATAGGACATAAATAAATGACCTGCAACTAGTTATATAGTGTCACTCAGGCTAACAAGGGGCCCAGCACACACAGGGATGCTTGCTTCTTGGGATCTGAGGATGGCTGAGCCCCAAGACTGGGACCTTTGATCCCCAGGCCAGCTGTAGTTGGCTCTCTCTCCCTCTGAGGAGTGCCACATCTCCACCTGTAAGGCTGGACCTCAGATCTGCTCACTCGCACCAGCCCTCAAAGCCGGAAGCCCCTTATATGGAGCCCCTGCCTGTGATTTTCTGACACACACAGCCCTGGGATGGTCCTGGCTGTCCCCTGTGCCAGGGAAGCCTGGGCATCCAGGGAGCCCTCAGCAGAGAGCTGGCAGGTGAGGCACCACGTGTGTGAGGGAGTCTTCCAGCCAGAGATGGCTAGCTTACTGGGTAAAGCCTGAATTACCCAGGATGTGCCTTTGCTGGCTCATCACACCTGAGGAGCCAGATGAGACTCAGGCCCAGGAAGAAGACTCTCGGGTGTCCGGTTGCTTCCATGGCCTCCTAAGGCACTTGAACTACATGGTCCAAGTGCTGGTGGCGTGTTGGCGAGAGGGTAGGACTGTAGCCTCCTTCTATCTAGGTCACAGCCACAAGATTGGGGCATCTTTCCCACACCTCTGTCCTGCTGGGCACCCAGTCAAGCACCAGCTGCTGGCAGTCTCTGCTCTGTCTCATCTAGCTTCACAGTAGCCTTAACTGGAGGCCTGACCTGCCACCACAGACCCCAACTGTCTCCCATCTCCGAGCGCCCCGCAACCCTTCGCCCATTCAGTCTTTAACAGTGGAGCTCCTCAGGGAGGCTCTCGGGCGTCCACAAAATCATAGCTGACCCCCTCCTGCTCCCTCTCTGCTGCTGCTGTCCCCAGGGTAGTGATGCACACGGGCTCAAGTACATCTTCACTTCTGCCCTAAAGGTGCAAATTTCTCCAGCTCAAACCTTCGCACACCACTGGGCCTCCCGCCCCGCCCCGCCCCGCCCCTCAGAGCGCACAGAGTTCCTGCTCTGCTGATTGCAGAAAGCCAGGGGTTGGTTCCTGGGGGCACCCACGCAGGATGATGTTCGGTCAGAGTGTTCCATGCAGCTGGAAACCCAGGCTGCAGCCCCAACAGTCACTTACTGAGGACAGTCCGTCGTCTCTCCTCCTGGCCTGGCTGTGCCGGCTGATGAAGGAGCGGGCTGACAGCTTGTAGTGGCTCAGCAGGCACGTGATCATCACCACCATTACCATCATCACTACCACGATGACCACTATCTGCACGAACTCCAGCTCCGCTGTGGGGCAGAGAGACACATGAGGTGTTAGTTAGGGCAAGTCTCCACAGGCTCCCAATCTCCATAAGGCCGAGGACTCAGACACAGGGAGACCCTCAGCTCAGAGACCCTGCCCAGAATTCGGCCTGGCCCCAACCATGGACAAGTGTGAAGACACAGTCTCGGTTCTCAGAGGTGCTAAGCATGGCCTGGCTCTCAGAAAGGAACCTGTGCTTTAGATCCCTTGTGGCTGGGGTCCTTTCACCTATGGGGCCTGGAGAATAATGCCAGGAAGAGGGAGCTCATGAAGGCTGAGGGAATGCTAGGTAGGATGTGAACAGAAGCAGAGACAATACGTGGGCATGCATGCACACAAGACTAGCCCAGTGCAGGGCTCCCCAATATACTACCACTCACACACCCCAGCAAGCAATGTTTCAGCCTTCCCACGCACAAAACAACAGCCCAGTGTGCTTATACACCCCAACCCTCCCCACCACCGACATTCCAAAACGCCCGTGTATCCCAAAATAACATCCCAACCCTCCTACACACCCCCAAACAGCCCAATATTCCAACACTCCAACACTGCTTCACTCCCCAAACAACAGCCCAGTGTTTCTATGTCAACACTCTCACTATAACACCTAAACCTCCTAAACACCCCAGAATAACAGCCCTGTGCCCCAATGTTCTTCTTCATCTCAATTTTCCAACCCTCCTATGCTCCCCAAACAACAGCCTAAAGTATGTACATCCTGTACACCCCCACAATGGGGTGACATCTTAAACACCCCAACCCTTCTACACCCCTCAAAGCAGCCTACGACTCCCACACACCTCAACACTCCCACTGCACCCCCAAAATCACACCTCAAGACATCCCAGGAAACATAAGACAACGCACACTCACACACACAACACACAGCCACACAGATAACCACACAATTATACAAACTTGCACCCGCTACACAGGGTCATGGTTAGAGGCTCCTCCCAGTGAAGGCCTCCCACAAATCCTAGGTACCGCACATACTGCTTTCCTCGTTTTTTTCTTCTTCCTGTTTTTAGCCTTGGTTTATTTCTCCCCTAGAAAGAGGAAAAGCCCTCTGGTGCTGGGAAGGGAAGAAGCTATTTTGATGGCATTTAAGCAGTTGGTTCTGCTGAGTCTGGCGGGCCGAGGCTCAGCAGCTGGCCGCAGCTGGTGCCAGCAGAGCCCCCCAGCAACAGGCAGGACGCCAGGAGCCTTGCAGGGCACTGAATTCGGCAGACCCCAAAGGCCCTGCTGGAGGTGGAGGCACAGTGATGAACCTCCCCTGTTTTGGAGGAAAGATGGGGGGTGGGGTGCACTCCCTGGTGCAAGAGAGGAAAGGGGCCCCAAGATAAGAAGCTCAGCTGCAAGGGTAGCTCAACTCTGTGCTAGCTAACCAGAGACAGGAACTGAGGGGGGGTGGGGGAGCTGAAAGTCTCCATGGGTTCAAACCTCAAGCCCCGGCAGGATTCACCCCTTCCATGGTTTCCCCATGCACTCATTGTGGGCACTTTCCTGTGAATGCGTAGAAGCTCACAGGGCCTCTCTCTCACTCTCCCACTGTCCCAGGCTATCCCTCAGCCCCAGCAAGGCTCCAGAATACTGTCTTCCCTTCCTGTTTCCGACACCCCAGCTACTCACCAGACCCACAGGCCTGACATAATCACTGTCACTGCGTGTGCAGTGACAATCATCTAGGCAGGACCCATTCTACTTCTGGAATCCGTGAAGCTGAGTCTGGCCTTCCCCTGATGGAAGGGCCTTCTCAGGCCCCATCCGAGGTCAGGACCTCAAGCTGAAACACACAACTGTGGAGGAGGTGATCACAAATTCCAAGTGCCCACAGCTGGGACTCCAACCCGAGTCCGGGCTGCAGCCGGAGCTCCTGAACTGTGTTCTGGTGGAAGCTTCACCTCAAACCCCCTCCCCCAGCTCCCTCCAGACCCTGCTGCATCTCAGAAAACCCGCTAAATGATGACCCCTCCCCCAGAGATGCTCAAGACCACTCCCACAGGGCATTTAAACTGCTCCCCCCCCCCGAAAACAGATGTGTGGTTTTCTGGTCTCTTTTCTCTCTCCTCTCTAGGGGGCTGGAAAATCATCCGGGAACACTGTATCCATTAAACGTGGGCTTTTTCTAATTTGGTTTGATTTGGTCTGAGTTGGATTGCTGTGTTGGCGGAGAGGCTTATCCGGGTACAGAAACTTTTCAAACTAGGCCCATTTTCACCTCATCCTGGAGGAGCCACGTACAGCGTATGGCAGAGAGTGTGAGCTACAAGGGTTCTGTTGGGATTCAACCATGCCTCCAATAGGGGCCCCCCTCTAGTGGGGTACAGAGTCTGAGAAGGGCCGTGGTGAGGGAGGCCAGGTCACTGCAGCCACGCTCCTGTCTCCCCAAGAGAGGCGGGGCCAGGGCTGGGTAGCTTGGCCTGAATGTGCTGGGCACTCAGGTCTGGCTGTCGGAACCCAGGATAAAGCCATATATTCAAGGGACACAGGGCCTGCTTTGTGCAACACCCACATTCCCTCAAAGGGCCCTCAACCCCTCCCCCTCAACTCTGTACTCCTCACCCTGGCCTGAGACACCCCCTCTGGCTGTCTCTGGGGCTTCTGCCCACATCAGGCCTAAAGGGAGCAGGGAGATGTAGACAGTCTTTGTTCCTGGCCTCTGGCAGCCTGGGGGACTGGATAGGCTGCTCCAATCCTCCTGGGGTGGTCTGGGGCCCCCGGGAAGACTGGTGAGGCAGAAGCTGAGGCAGCAGGGCTGGCGGAAGCTGACAGGATGTGGGGACAGTGAATAAAGCCTCCGCAGGGCCAGTTGGGGTTGACAAGTCTGGGTTCCTGTGTCCAGAAAGTGGGAGAATTGCTCCCCAAAGTGAGGGGAGGACTCTGTACCCACAAATGTGACCACCTGGTTCAATGACTACCAGCTTTAAGCAAAGACACAGACCCAGAAATTTCATATAAGCCAGGAGGAGAAAACATGGATCCAAAACAAAAAACCAAGTCCATGGAGATGTCTAGCAAAGGCTTGTGTTGAGTGTGGCTAGCCACTGAGCAGGACAGGAAACGACCACAGCATGGCCCTCACGGTGCCTGACACACACCGAAGCAAAACAGTATGTCGGGTTAGGAAGAGACTACAAAAGAGTCCTGGTACCTCCAAGGCAGGACACAAGTAGATACACGAGGCACGAGGACAGCTTCCTCAACAATTCCCAGAGGCCAGGTACAGCTGGACCCATCCCTGGCAAGGCTGGACAGACAAACAAAACCAGTACACAATGTCTAGACCACATTGCCCCCAGGGGATTAAGGCTTTAAATGCAAAGTAAAGCCAGGCATAGTAGCTCATGTCTGTCAGTACTTGGGAGGGTGAGGCAGGAGGATTGATACCAGGTCAAGAGCAGCCTGATCTATACAACAAGCTCCAGGCCAGCCTGGTTCACAGGGTGAGAACTTGTCAATAAATAAAAAAAGGGAACCAATAACATCCAGCACAGTTACCAAACTTTCAAGCAAGAGTGGGAAGGGAGCCATTCGTTATGGCAGGAAAGGAGACCTCCACAGCTGGTCCCTGGTGCTGACAAGGCTAGCCTTGGCTACATGAGAACGTGTCTCAGAACAAAACAAACTGGGTATAGTGACACACACCTTTAATCCCAGCACAGGCCTGAGCTTGCATTTGTGCCTAGGAAGCAGCTTGGCAGTCAGTTCTGGCTGGTTAGTGTAACGGTGGTACCCTTTCTGTCAACATCTTAGGTGCCTGCTCCAGATGCCAGAGGTACACTACAAGGAGAGGGAACAGCGTTTGACTCCCAGCCTACAGCTACACTCCAATGCAAACTGGGGGTGGGGAGCAAATGGGCCCAACCACCTGGTATCGGGGTAGATGTGCTCCCCAGCCCCCACCTTCTAGTTAAGAGTGGAGTGCAGTTGGGGCTGGAGAGCTAGGCAGATCCACCTGGCTCTCTCTAGTCTTAGGAGGTTTTCCTAGACCAGATGCTGTCTGCAAGCCTGCCCCTGGGTCTACCTCTGGGGAGGGTAGCAACCTCCTTCCTAGTTAACAAGCAGCCCGCACCCGACCCTGTCTGGCCTCCTGGCCGCACACGGAGGAATTAGGAATAGGCACCGTCTGAAATTTATGAAAATCTAATCTCGTTAGGCCCGCCTGGTGGAGACCCGGCGGGCGGCCTCATTGTCATTCCGAGGAGCCCCAGTCGCTGGGGTTCCGGCCACTCCATCACCTTCCCTCCCCCACTGCCTGTTGTATTTGAATATGAACTGGTTCCCCCATGCCCTTGAATTCAAGTAAAATTAGACCAGACGTCAAAGGAATAGTTTTGCCATCTCTCGGGTGTCATTTCAAACACCCCCGAAGGCGCATTTATTTCTTAGTGTAAGAACTTTCATGATTTTTTTTTTTAATTGCTTTTCCTCTTTAGGATTGGGGAGCAGGCAGCAGGTTGTATGGCATCTTCTGGTTTTCAAGCCAGGTTCTGATAGGTACCTAGCTCTGGCCAGGTGACCTTGGATGGTAGGTGACATCCCCTAACTCCCTGACACTTCAATGACTACTGCCTTGAGAGCAAGAAGAAAAGACACATCTCAAGGGTTAGGAAGGACCCAGCTCTTCTGTTCTTGGCAGTCTTTTTTTTTGGGGGGGGTGTCGTTTTGATTCAAATTTTCCCCCCTTCTGAGACAGGGTCTCACTATGTAGCTCAGGCTGTCCTGGAACTCACTATGGAAACCAGGCTGACCTCCAAACTCACAGAGATCCACCTGCCTCTGCTTCTCAAGTGCTGAGGTTAAGGGCCTGCACCATGACACCTGGCTTTTTTTATTTTGAGACAGGTTCTTATGTAGCCAAGGCTAGCCTCGAACTTGATATACAGCTAAGGATATTTTTGACCTTCTGATCCCTGCCTCTACCTCTCCCTGAGATTACAGACACAGGGAATGAAGTCCGCACTCCAAGACCC